TTTCTGTAGCTGGATTACCCCAAATAGCTGAATCCCAGCAAAATGCACACGGCGCTGTTTGTCCCCAGACCCCGAGAGGGTCCGGACAAGGACAGAGTGTCCACGCCAGAGTCTGACAAAGTCAATCCCCCGTGTTAACGGTTAAACGGTTTTTCCAAATTAACAGCTGTGGATATTAGAGAGATCATCCATAAAATGGGGTTGTGACTCAATATTGCATCACCTTTCCCAGCTGGGCTTCGGTGTGGTTCAGCCTGGGAGCCTGGGGGCTGGTTTGCACCATCTAGTCATGGTTCTCCTTTCCCTTCAGATTATTATTTCCATGAGAAAACGGATTTCCATGGTTTTAAACCTGTAGTGCTTAATGTTTCTTGATCATCACAACCGAGGTACTGATTCCGCTTGTTGGTAGGAGCTGCTGGATAGGGTATAAAATTCAGAACCGAATGCCACTGAAGTTCTTATTTACATCTTTAATTTCCATCAGAATAAATGGAGTTTAAGAACTGCTTAATCAGCTGCTTAATCGTCGCTTGCTGTTAGAGGCCTCTTACAAATAAGAAAGTTTCCTTAGCAGTAAAAACCCCACTGTATTAATGTTCCTAAAGTGTGAATCCACAATGGTGGCTTCAGTGATTCTGGAAAACACTTGCTAATTCTGACATTTCTCTCTGGAAAAGATGGCGAATTTATATCCTAAATCGTGGACTGATAGATGTTCCTGTGAAATGTTAGTGCAAAGATACTTAAATGCAGCCTCTGATGGAGAACTGCACTTCAGCATTTAGCACAGCTCGTAATTATTTGAGTGCTCACAAGCTCTAGAAGCACAGGTTATGAAATTCCACTAACTCAAGAGTAATCTATACTCTTAAAGCTCTCGTAAGATGAAAAATTTGCCTTTCAAAAGTGCAAATATCATGATTATATGGTTTTAAAGAAGGATTTTTAATATTAGTAAAAATGCTGAAGTACAGAATAACTTTCTACTTTTTGTTAAGCTGGCACAGGGAAAATACTTTTTTTTTTTCTCCTTTTGGTTTGGTGCTTCATCCACGTGCGTTTGAGAAAACTCCTACCTGTAGTTCCAAAGATTCTGTTAAAAAGATAAATTTCCCCAAAATCTTCCCTATCACTTCATGCCTAATGACATACATTTGAGGTTCAAATATTGACAGTCATTCTTTGAGAAGCAAATCAATAAATTGTACAGTGTATTTTAATAAACACTATTTTGCTGTAATTGGAGTAGAAATTTCAGGACTCACAGTGTCAGAATCTGTTGTTGGTGTAATTTTTAAACTACTCCTAGAACTACTTTGCTGAATTTCTCTAGTGTGGGGTTTCAAGCAGCTGTAAAATTTTGTTTTATTTGTTGGAAAAAAAGCTATATAATTTTTCATTTGGATAGAAATTGTGGCTCTTAATTAAAAAAAAATCAAAGATGCATCTGTTTAATCATAAATACCAGCTAATACTTCTGAAAACAGGCTTCAGTGTTTTGTTCAGCGATGCAAAATTCTCAGTGGGTGTTTACATTGTAGTATTAGAATGCAAATAATTTTTTTTACTAAAATATTATGATTTTAATGAATTTAGGCTGTACCAAAGGCTAGTGCAATTTTTTGGAAGTCTATTTTCAGTTTCAATTCCTTGTGAAACATTCCATTTTAGCAGATAATCAGAATGAATTAAAACAAAAAAATGGCGTTTAATTTTTCTAAAATTCCTTCTTGTAATCAAAATTTCTTCAGAGGTTATTTTTTTCTTAAAAAAAAATATCCAAAGCTTTTTTTCCCCTGAATCTTATGGTAAAACTGTAGCTAGTCCCTTTGTTTTTCAAGTAAGTTTTGTTGAAAGGGCAGAATACACAAAACAGCGTGTCCGTGTTGCTGATGAACTGCAAGATTTGTTAATGATACAATTAATGAACAATGATAGCAACCAGGGAAATATCTTTCATTGCTTATTTTGACAGACAACTCCTAGTGAATTACTTTTTTTTTTTTTTTTTAGTTGAAGTCCTTAAGCAGCCCACTGATCTGTATTTTAAGCCTTTAAGAGGGGACAGCAGGTTGTGTGTTTGGGGTTTTTTGTGTTTTGTTTTGGCAGATAGAGGCTACAAAGTGTGGATGAGCAAAGTTCTGTTGTGCACTAAGGTCCTTTTATTTTCTCATCCTTTCCTATTCTTTTTTGAAAGACAATAGGCTTGATTCTGAAAGGAAAATGCAAGGAATTGGGTTTAGATTATCCTACAAACAGGGTTATCTCCCAGCATCTGCCCTTGTTACGTGGGATGTGTAAATAGGGCTGTGGTTTGCATCTGGGCTCCTGAAACTGCAGCAGCTTTGAAGGTGTAACTTAAAGTCATTGCTAAGTGACACAGAATTGGGATGCAAATCTGTTCCTCCTGCTGGTGTACCTGCCTTTGGTTTGAGTGTAATCCTTGAAAATTTGTACTGAAGTCTTCTCCCTCCTCCTTCAATAAGAACAGGGTTAGTGAGCTGAACTTCTCTAGGTTTGCAGGGGGTACCACTCGCTTGTTTGCAATAAAATAAAAAGAAAACTGATTTTAAGACTTCTGGATCTAAGATGATGTCTGTGCCTTGGGTACTAGGCGACATATGTTAGCTGGTTGATGAAATGATTGAATTTTGTTGAAGGAGTACAAGTAAGCAATACTGTCCCACTGAAATGGGATTTCAAGAATTTTATTCCTAGTACTGTGGATTCGTGCTGCTTCATTTTCCTCCTCATTTAAATTTATGCACCTTTTTTTCAGTATTAAAGTCTCTGCAAATGTGCAAAATGTTGCAGAGTTTTACAAACCAAGGTCCTCACATTCAGGATCTTACAGTTCTTCAAAACAGCTTTAATAAAACGAATGTTGTGTACTTAATTCTTAGTCATGCTCACAAAAGGAAAAAAAAAAAGTTGAATACTTTTAGTGAAAAAAAATTTGAAATATGGCATTGGTGCACCAGGATCTCTTCAAGCCGTCTGAACTTGGTTCTCATGTCTTTGTTCTGTTGTTTAATGCTAATTGGGCACTGAGTTCGCTCAGTTTTCCAAAAAAAAGGCATTTGAACAACCATTCTGTTAATCATTCATCTCTCATAACTTAAATATTCCTCATTTCATAATCGTGCAGAAGTTTAAAAGTAAACTATTACTTTTCAGTAGTTTTTCCGGGCTTCCAAGCATCATTCACAAAAGAAAAGAAACCTCAAAATGTAACGAATTTTTAAAACTGTGACTCGTACTGATCAGCGAGTCATTAGGAGAATTTTTATCACAAATTAAGTCAGCTTCGTAAGGGTCGGTTCTGAAAAACTGGAAATGGTTCGTACAAGTTGGCATACCCTTGTGTAAAATGTGCAATTGATGTGCTTTAGTCTCTGCTCTTTTTGTTTTTCTGAAATTTTACCAGTCCAGGCACAGAATTTACTCACCCACTTGTGTCATCGTGATGGTGAATCATGAGGGAAGCAATCTTTTTTTTTGTAAATATGTTCAAAAAGAATTATTAGCCCCTGGCTATTAAAGGAAATAGACTTAGTAGAGGAGAGCGAGCTACTTTGTTTCTTTGGTCTCTGCGTTTTCATAAATTCTGAAGATTAGAAAGCTGTTATTTTTTTAATTAGGCTTTAGCCTGGAAAAGGGAATATCGTGTCAGGATACTTGGTCATTTGGAGAGATGATCAGTTTGCGAAGCTGTCTGTGTGTCTCTTGGTGTCTGAAGTGTGTTTTACTAAATCCTGCCTGGAGCAGAGTGTAAAGAATCAAAACTTTGAAATTTAGGTGACTTTTTTAATGTAGAAGACAATAATAATTTATTTAAAATTAAAAAAAAAAAATCGTTCTCTTTGAAATTAAAATGGCATTTGTCAGTAATAGGAACTCTCCCATGGTTGGAGTTAGGGGGGTTGGTGTCTGTACGTGGATCAAACCTTGGGATCCTTTGGATCGTGTGTGTGTTCTCACACCAGCTGAGCTGATGTTGTTGCTACTGGTAATTTCTTCTGCATAGTATTTTAAGTTTCTGTTTATTTGTTGTTTTTTTTTCAAACAAGTGTCATGACAATTATTGAAGCTCTTTGGGTCTGCTGCTAAATAGCACGGCGTACAGAGTGAAAGAGAAATTGCCCAGGTTGTTTTTGCTGGCAGCCTGGCCAGGCTGTGGCACCGGGCGTG